TTCGCTAAGAACTATTTATCCAAATCAGTTCGCTAAGAACTATTTAACCACCAAATCATGAGTAAGCCAACCGAGACTCCACCCACTACAAGCGCTGTTTTTTCATCGATATGTTGTTGATTTTTAGCCTCAATATGCGGTGGTACTTGTGCGTGTGCATTAGTAGATGGTTGTGAAACATGTGGTGTTTGCGGCTTGACTATTCCCTTTTCACCCGTGATCGTTTGCGTTATTAATTCGACGTTAATATCTGAATTTATACCTGGTTTTTGTTGATCGGTAGCAATAACAATTTTATTATTATAGCCTATCACTTGACCGATCTTAAGTTCCATATTACTCGGAGACATGTATAGTCCCGGCGCATAAACGTAGTCCACTTTGGATTGGGCGTACTGTAATGCATCTTGAAAACGCTTTATAGACGATGGTATGTCAACTGGTGAATTAATGGCGTCCTCCACGTTTGAGACAAACTGTTTTTGCGCATCGAGCGCCGTCCCAGAACCGATAATGGACGTTCGTGTTTGCGATTGTGCACCGAGAATTGCCCATACATAGGTTCTTATCGATTCATTAAATCTTACAAATCCTGGGTTAGTAAAATTATTTTCCGTTTTATCATTAAGAAATTCATTCCAAGCGTTTGCGGTATCGTTCATTTGTATAAATTTTGTAACAATATAAGCCAAACCACCCTTAAAACTCATAAGAGAACCTCTCCAATCGTTACTCGAAAGTTCCCAGCCATGATTAAGATTATGCAATCTTACAAAAAGATTGTCTATCTGTAAGAATTTAAATGGATCAAATGGTTGATGAGTTTTTTTAACTAAATCATCGCTGACTTCTTTAACAGTTCTTTGTCCGCTGTACGGAACACCTAGACCATGGTTTGCTCCTTTAATGCGCCAATCTTTACTCGTAGAAACATTAAATTCATTACAAATACGCTCATACGCGGACCTATCATAATTATTATTTGTGGAATTCCACGCTCGATCCTGCGGTAATGGAGCACTAATTTCTTTAAGTATACGTCTAATCTGATAATACACGTGAAATAATAAAACAGACTTATTTAGCATAAATCCTGGGGCATTAACAGATACGCCACATCCCGTTGTGGCACACCATATGGCAAAGTTTAACTGATTCTGCCAAAATTGCATCGGATTGTGAAACCAATCGTGCACCATTTTATCGCTAGTTGCCGTGACCCTGTAATTTTCAAAGATATCTGGAAATTTAACGAAAAATTCAGCACCAGAGGCAGTTACTATAATCGATTGATTAGTAATGTATCTCGATTTCATATTTAAGTTATGATATAGTATCATTGTATATTTAATATGTATGTTACACTCCCGGGAATAACAAATGGTCAGTCTATTGAACTGCTTCATACTATCGATAACTCGGATGGACAACTCGAAGTAGCCCTATGCGATGTAACGTATTACCCACTGTGGACCAATATAAGTGCTGCGAAAGATAATAATAAGATACATATAATAGGTGAAAACAATGGTATTGACAGAGCCATTACTACTATACCTGATGGGTATTACAGCGTATGCTCACTCAATGATGAAATTTTTAAGCCTAATGGAATGAGTCTAACACAAAATGAGTCGAATGGGACAGTGAAAATCGACTCTGGAGAAAACACTGTAATTCTTATCCCATACTTAGAAGTTACACTTGGATTTCATCATAGAATAGGAATTATAAATTCTAACAAACCACGACAGGGAATTAAATTACCCGATTTAGTTCCCTATAAAGAGTTGTTCATCCATCTTGATCAAATCAGCACGACGGATAATATTCAACAAGAAAGTCCTTCAACTCTGCTCAGAAGTGTTCCAGTGAAAAATGAAAAATATAATAGCGGTAGAACGGAATCTTTCTCGTCACTACAATATAAAAAATTAAAGCGGGGAATTATTTCAGACCTCAAAATTTCTGTATTAGATGTAAAACACCAACCAGTACATATGGGATACTTAAGTGTAACACTCCATATTATATAATGGTTAATTCCATATTTAAGTTATGATATAGTATCATTGTATATTTGATATGTATGTTACACTCCTGGGAATAACAAATGGTCAGTCTATTCAACTGCTTCGTACTATCGATAACTCGGATGGACAACTCGAAGTCGCTCTATGCGATGTAACGTATTACCCACTGTGGACCAATATAAGTGCTGTGAGAGGTAATAATAAGATATGGATATTAGATGAACAAAATATTATTGAAAAATTCATTATTATACCTGATGGGTATTACAGCGTATGCTCACTCAATGATGAAATTTTTAAGTCTAATGGAATTAGTCTAACACAAAATGAGTCCAATGGAATGTTGAAATTCGACACTGGAGAAAAAGGTGTACGGATTGTAGGGAACTTATCAGTTACACTTGGATTTACACGCGGAATTTTATCAATATTCAAGGCAACATTTGATGGAGAGACATTGTCCGATTTAGTTCCCTATAAAGAGTTGTGTATCCATCTTGATCAAATCAGTATGACAAATAATATTCAACTAGAAAGTCCTTCAACTTTGCTCAGAAGTGTTCCAGTGAAAAATGAAAAATACAATAGCGGTAGAACGGAATCTTTCTCGTCATTACAATACAAAAAATTGAAGCGGGGAATTATTTCAGACCTCAAAATTTCTGTATTAGATGTAAAACACCAACCAGTACATATAGGATACTTAAGTGTAACACTCCATATTAAAAATAATGGTTGATGCATCAGGCCCTGGAACAGTAATACAATGTAATACAATTGCGCTTTCCGATCTCGGAGACACGGAAGGATTCGGTAAACCCGGCACCGATGGTAAGTTATACGCTTTACACTTACACGATAATGTATACAATCGGAAAGAAGTCACATTCACGGGTAATCTAGGAGATTTAAGCGATGTCGATGTTAGTAGACTCCTTAAAAACACTTCGTACAATATTACTCGCAACGACGATAATAAATGGACTATGGTTGAAGCAAACATCGAGTGGCTACTGAATATCGTCATTACCCCACCTTATGTGATGATGGGTAAGGGACATAATTTAACTAAGATAATAAATAGTGGCATCGTACTCGCGGCTTATATCCCATCAAAACAAAAAAGTGTGTTAGTTACCCCCCTGCCAGAAAACCCAGGTCATATGATATATAGTCGTCCGGCCTTAAAAAATGTTACTTTAAATTTGGTTACTGAATTCGAAGATATTAAAGATAACTTGAGTGCAATACCTAATCTTTCTACGCTTATTATTGAAGTCTTGTTCGGAGATGCACCGGAAGATGCCTTTGAAATATACCAGGTCTATCGATTAAATGGCTCAAGAAACACCAACGTCAACGTTGCAGTATTATTCATATCGGAGCATCGCCCGTTGCAACCCTCGAGGGGGTCCAAATTATTAAAAGTGACAGTATTTCTCTTTCTAAGATATTCTTGCCGTATAATATACATTTGATAAGGTTGATGTATAGTCTCAAAACATTTAAGCAAGACCAATTAAAGACTATTATATGATCGTTATATACACTATGAGTTTATATCCGGCGCTCAATGAAGCATTTGAAAAGATGGAAACTGTTGATGGATTTCGATTACATCAAATAAGCGACATAAAACATCGAATAGAGAAGGATAGGGAGTTGAGACTTGGATTGTATAAAAAGTATCGCAGAGCCGTGAATGCTCTGGACGGAGTTGACACCGTGCTTTTAGTATCCGGCATGGGACTCGGTGTAGCGGGTATCGGTTTACTATCAACTATAATCGCCGCGCCTATCGTGCTCGGCATGGAAATAACCGCTGGGGTCTCCAGACTGGCAGGAATAGCGATAAAATTCATTTCTCGTAGGTTACAAAAGAAAGCATTAAAACACGATAGTATTCGGATACTGGCCGAAGCAAAGTTGAACAGCATCGAGGATCATATTTCGACAGCAATGGCCGATTGTAAGATATCCGAGGATGAGTTTCGTTTAGTGCTGTCGGAACTCACCAAATACAATAAAATGAAGCAGGAGATTCGATCACAATCTCGTAAGACCAGTGGTATTAGCGAAGACGAGAAAAAAAAGTTCATAGAAGAGGGGAGGCAACAAGGGCGTCAATTATTCCGTGCCAAAACCAAAGAACTGGTTGGAGATTAAAAATAGATTGTTTACTATCGTGTGATTACATTTAGACAAATGCTAACATAAATATATAATAATGGAGAAAGCTATTCAATGGAAAGAATTACCACAAGGTTTTTATTATATCAGTGATGTCAAACCAACCAAATACGGTTATCAATTGTTTCTTATCAATTTACAAAAAGAGTGTAGTTATATAGTCTGGTCTCCTAGTAAAATGAACGAAGAACTTAATAAAAATGTTGAATATCGCTTTATCGATAAAAATAATAAAGAATATTTTTATTACCATTTAGACTCATCTAAAGCAATGATTGGCCCCAGGTGGTGGTGAGCTGGAGCCAATTTAACTTAATCTCATGACTATCGTTGAATCGCATAATCATTTTGGCATAAAAAATTCCATCTGTAGTAGCAGTATAGGTATATAAATCCAGCTCCAGTGGAAGTGAGCCAGAACCCCTATTACCTATACTACTATTCATGTTAAACTGCGGCATGGTATCTCAGTGAGCTAGCACTATAAATCGGCATCAGTCCGGACTAGTACAAGCACCCACACAAACACACACACGTACATGCACGTCGCTATATAAGTGCAATAATCTTGGACGCAACGTTCAACCCCATTTCACCTCACCTCTTTGTTGTAACAGTTTTAGTGTCTGGTTGATAAAAGAATGTGTTTATATTTTATTTTTGGCCAGTTCTTTTTTAAAATCATGTTTGATAGCCAAGTATTTCATGCTTTCTTTGTTTAGTTTATTGAACCACATAATCTGCTTTCTCTAAACATATTTATTCTCTCTTTTCTAGACATTGACAGATATCCATGCAGAAATTGTGGCAGACAGTTTGTTCCAGAGTCTTTGGTAAGATATGGAAATCACATTTGTCTAATTGAAAGACATTAAGGTTGATGTTTCTGCTAGACTAATAACCATCCGTTTAAATTTTCAGTTAGTTTTTTACCCAATATGGGGATGCTGTTTTCATTGTGCAAAAGGCATAATTCCTTTAAAAACCCTACTTTTTTTACATCACACGCAATATTCCTGTAATATGGTTATGTTTCACTAAAAAATCCTTAGATTTTCAACAGACATCACTGTCAGCAATCCAAGCCAGTTGTAAGGCAACCAGTATCTTGCAAAAAAACAACAAAAACCTTTGTACACGTTGGAAACGTCACTTCTTTCTTGTGTGTGTAAGCTTTATAAAAAATACTAATTAATTATAAAGGGGTCTCAGCCATGACAGCCTGGGACCCACATCATTGGTGTATCATCTGTTGAGCAGAACTCTGCACTATTTCATCCTAATGCACAGACTGTGCTGATGCCTCCAACTCAGCTTTTCTCATCTTGCAACCAGTGACAACAAAGAAATTTCAGAAGATAAAGGGTTTTTTAAATCATCTTACAAGTCCTCCAGTAGGAAACATTCAGCGAGGCAGGAAGGATACAATGACGTTGCATGGTGTTACTGTTAGCATTGGTGAGCAGCCCCACACCAGTTTCCATCTGGACCCTCCCATCATCTTCGACTGGATTAAGACCCTCCTGTTGTCCGTGGAGGCCATGAAAGCCTTCTTTACATCGTCCATCACCACATCCTTACAAGCATGATGGATCGCCGATTTGATATCAGAGTGGATCTCCACATTGCAACAACAGACAGTGTCCCCTGACACTTGACCAGTCTACACCAGCTCACCTACCTGTCAGAATCTCCCCCATGCTCAGATCATCGTGACAACCAGGGCCCAACTCATCACATTTTGGAGGCTGGCATGCAGTGAGGACACGTGTGGCTGAGCCAAAACAGCAATTACCAGCACTACCGTTATGCGTGTGGAGGTGCTTGCTCTGAGATCATGACACCAAACAGGGTTGACCATTACAGCACGCATATGTACAGGATTATCGGAAATGTTGCTTGCGAGAAAAGTAGTCACCATATGACTGTCGCTGAAAATGGGTGACTTTTAGCAACAGGATAGAAAGTCTTGAGGTCGTAGATTGCAACTCAATGATTTGTTGTTGGCCAGTCGTGAGGAGGATGTTTTTCCCATTGGTGTATTCTGACTGGACTGCTCTTTCCCAGAGCTTTTTTGAAGAAATTTACCATCTGCTCCAAAATCTTCAGCCACCCATTGCACCGGAGTCATCGTAGGCTTGAACAACCAGGTTTTGTCAACACCCCATTATTGGGACCTACCTTCCTACACAAACATAGTCAATTTCTCATGTCTGCTCAAGGGTATCTGAGCCTGTTTAGAAGTCGGTGCTCTCTCAAGCCATCATGGCTCCGGTGCTCTTCAACAAGAAACATTCAACAAGACATCAACTGTCAGCCTGGCTGCATTGGCCGGCCGATACACTTCGTAATACCCCTAAGCCAACTATATGATGTCATGTTGCTTCGGGATGAGATTTTTTTCGGTCCCCTCCTAGTTTGTCACTCCCTCCAGTGGAAGACATCAATAATGCATCTCTGATATTAGCAAGTTCTCTGAGTAGCACACATAGTTTACCGTCGTCTCTGCAGTTGAAGACTCCCATGGTAGTCTTGATAGACAGTCAGCATTAGTGTGTTCTTCTGATTTGCGATATCTGAATTCATAGTTTGAAGTATGGCTGTTGCCAGAATGGTCCGAAGATAGTTGTCAGTAGCTTGGGATCTGTTATCAGTGTGAAGTTCCTTCTATATAGGTATTTATGAAACTTCTTAACCCCAAACACAATGGTCAGGGCTTCCTTTTTCTAGCTGGGCATAGTTAGTCTCTAAACGCGTCAATGCTTGTGACATGTAAGCCACTGGTCTTTCTGATTCATCCTACATAACGTGTGATATGACACACCCTATTCCGTAGGCTTAGGCATCACATGCCGAGGTAAGAGGGCAATGAGTGTCATATTGTGCCAAGACACTATTACTTGACAGGTTTGCTTTAAAAATACTTAATGAAGGACTCTTCTTTCAATTTCCATACTAAATTACCTTTCAGCAATGTGTACAGTGGCGACATGTTCACAATGAACTTTCCATACGATGGCCTTCACCTTGTGAAGAGGGTGTAGACCTTCAGCATGGATGAAGTGCCCAAGACACTCAATGGAGCGAGTATATGATTCCATTTTCTGTTACTCCTCCTGGAACTCTATCCACCAAGTCTATTTGCTGTGCTTCATCATCAGTACCCATCAGGATGTCATTCAACAAAATCACAAGCCAATGATTCCCTTGAGTTTCTGTACCATAATACACTGGAAGTATCCACATTTCAGTCCCCGCTATATCTGACATACTATAATGATGTATTGTCATGACATCATGTTCTCATGTTTGTTGTCTGCCACTCTTAATGCTTGGCTGCAAATGGCCACAGCACTTAAGATATGAAGTAATTAAAGAACTTAGGTATAGTTGGTCCTTCTGTTGGGTTCCATGGGTTCAAAGTAAAGAACATGACATGGGGCTTTCCTTCCTTCCACATCTACCATATTTTCTTGAGTATAGTGCGCACTATTTTTTCCAAAAAACTCAGCTGTGTAGAAGGGGGTGCACATTATACACGCAATAATGAGTTTAGATGTTTTTTTACCCCAACGGAAAGACATTACCGTGAGCATGTAACACCGGAAATACCATGTCAACAAATCAATACAGAAGTTCGCAAATTAATCATGTAATTACGGCTATAAAAAGTGTTCTATGTATAACTGGTCTTATGTTTATAACTTATTTCATAAATTTTATAAAAAATTCCTTTTAATATTGTCTTAATTAATTTCGGTGAAATTGTGTGTGAAGTGATCGGAAGATCGCACAACTCACCGTTATTAACAGCAACCATGGTCAGATTACCACTATTGACGCCTTGAAACAAACTTTAGTTGACAGAGAATGGATTCATATTTCATAAATGCCATACTTTGATTCGTTAAAATTCATACTTGTTATAGTTTGACGATTCTATGTCAACACGTAGTTCTCGTGATCACGTGCGCAGGAGCCTCGACGGTGACTGGTGAAACTTGTTCCATGTGAAAAATAATACCCGGCAATGGCGATCAGCTTGTTATAATTATTTTAAATATATTTAGTAAAAGCTGCAACTAAATAACAAGATATTGGAATATAATATTCCTGATAAAAAAGTATTTTCAAATACAATTTTTGCCAATCCTTGCATTAAAATCCTTACAGTTATATCATTGGGTGTGTCTTGACTGAATCACCGGTTGATTCCAAGAAAACGTGTGTACAGCTGATTGCTGTTTCCAGCTTAGTTTATGAGAAAATACACTAGGTAATCCTAATCCCTGGATGTAAAACAAGGCCTAACAGAACAAAAAATACAATTTAAATGGGAAATCAACATGTCTGGTGATTTTTTTATCTCAAATTTTCAAATTTGTACTGACCCAGTTTCTCATCACCCGTTCGTTTAGCGGAATTTGCTGAAAGGGTACGGTGTAAATTTTTCTGCCCATAATATTCAAATTTTCTTTCTTCCAAAATACTGAATCCGCTAGAGGGAAGTGTGCATTATACTCGGATGCGCACTATACTCAAGAAAATATGGCATGAGAGGTAACTTCTTTGTTCTGTAAAGTCATCTCTCATCTGGTCTCCGGAATAAATTCTCAGTTTCATGCCAGATCGTACAGTTTTTAAACTTGGAAATAAAGGGGAGCAGCTGAGAATGATTAAGTTTGATAATTTAAGGATTATTGCCTTTTACAACAGCAATATACGAGTACCACTGCCAGGTTTGCATAACACTATTGGAGTCACAGAGAAATAGACATATCATTCTTATCTGAAGAAGCTCCAATATTCATACGTCAACATCGTTAATCCAGAAGCGCCTGTGACTACAAGGCAAATAAAACAAGAACAAAGGAGTACCGCTCGTAATTTCATTACCATAGTTAATGTTCAATTAATGAATGTTAAGTTAAAATGTTTAAAATGTTAATATGTACATGTTGATATCAGTGTTCAGTTCAGGGGAAGTAGTTCCAACACAATAGTCAGCGTAGTCTGTCAGACAGATGATGGTAGACGAGGTTGTCCTTCAGGGTTTTTAGGGTCTTTAGGGCATTGATCTAGCAGTAGCATTGCTTATGGGAAGGTGCAGAAGGAGATGCCTTCTCACACAAATATTTGAATACCCACGCATACATAGCTAATGAATATTTGCCATAGATAGGTGTTCAATATTCCCAATAGTGGTGAATGGAAGGATTTCATGGTCGATTCTGTTCAGAAATGGTCACCACTTTTTGCGTTGGAGAACTTTTTTTTCGAGCTGTTTCTGCAGTAACTTCCATCTCAAATGCTTCAGCAGGATAAGTGTGAGAAAGTTTTTCAACCATGTTAATTTGCCATCTTGGTGGTATTTTTGTGGTAGAAAGACTTATAAAGTACTGGTATGTTTTTTTACTCAGTGTCATATCAATGTTATTACAATACAGCATATGAAAGCTTTTCAGTACATTTGATCTTCTAACACAATAACTATTTAGTAGTTTTGATTTTCTTAAGTGCTTTATCTGTAAACACATCCGCATCGTGTGTACACTCACTGCCAATTAGCTGTAAATTGATCTGTTTAAATTAATTGTATTTTTGTTTTACGTCTTTTATCTATTTGTACTATTACTGAATAACTCTTTAATATCATAAAGCATAATTATTCTTCTTCTGTGTTTCTGTGTGACTCATTTATATCATAAAACAGTATGCATTGACAGTTCACCACATTCACGGCATATGGCTTATCTATCAATGTGTCCCCTGGGAACAACAGCAGAATTCCTTCGAATTATGAGTTTGGCTTTCCGAGGACTTCAAATATTCAAATGTCGTGTCCTAGGCCGATAACTGCTTGGACCATGCTCCTAAATTCTATGTTTGGCTATTTCAGATGAAATTTACAAAGCAAATTTCGTCTGAAATAGCTAAACTGACAGAGGTGAACTTTGGCATGGATGTTGTTCCTTATTATGACATTATTATTTCTTCAAATCCTCAGATTTTGGTGTTAGTTTTTAGTCCTCGGTATTTATGCAGAAAATATTTTAAAGTCATTGCTTACAGCATCTTTTGCTAAGTGGCTGTTATATCCAAGTGAGCTACATTGTCATGGCATTATTTGTTTTACCTTATTATGATGACCTTGTGTTCAATAATGCAAATATTCCAGAAATATTCAGATCATTGACAGAGTTGTGTCACCCTATTGTTTATGTTTATACAACTGGTTGTGCTATTTATGTGAATCTTTTGTATAATTGCACAGGCAGTACATGAGCGGATCTGTGCCAAGAGTGGTCAGAAGAAAAGGAAAGTGTTTGATTCTACAAAACAGAGGGTTCAAGGCACTGACCTCAACTTACGCCAAGTAAAACTGTCACAGAAGAAGGTAAGACAGCCATAATTATGAGATGTTCATCTTAATGTGAAGGGCACACAACCAGTAGATTCAAATGGGCATATGTTATGTCTTGGTTTGAGTCTATCTTGACCAATGGCTGAAGCTGGGTCTTGTTTATCACCCACTGTTGGCTGTCTGGTGAGCAGACTCTTTACAGGCAGTTTCCCCATTTTAACAATCAACAATAAATGTAAAATATTACATTATAATAAGTGTTTGAAAAAACTTTATTCATGACAACATGTTCTTTACAAACCTTCTTGTGATCGATATTCATTGCCATCTCCATCAACGACCCACGCAACAATCTTTCTGATGTCAGTGTGCTGGCACTTGATCATAACAACTTCTGAAAAGTGATGAAATTCATTTCAGAACACGCACAATTAAGCAAATCATACACAAACCACATTTTCTGGGCCACAAATGTCACATTGGCGTCTAATCCGAGAAATCTTGAAATCTTGAAATGACCAGGTCAAGTCCAGGTGACTTGTCTAGCATCTGCCTTTTGTCCCCTGAAACCAGTGGAGCTGAAACATGCTCTTCCCACCTACAACCCTACAACAACAGATCTTACTCAACAGGATTGTATCTAATTTTCAGTGAGGCCATCACAGTAGGCATAGTTTAAATGTATTTTTTTTTTTTTCCAACATTTTTATTGTTACCAGAGTTGTAGATTAATACAGTATTCCGTCAAAGACATATTTCGGATTGCATAGAATGGCACAATACACTCTTTAGAAAATTAAAGGGTTGGAAACAAACATTGTCCTATTTCAAACCAAAACGGTTGCAACACACAGTCAGACTCAAACATATCATGTATCAAGAGAGAGCTATGAATCAAATGCTGAGAATAAAGGTGACCATTTTTTGTTAAAGTTACTTTTGTCATCCTTTTTTATAGCAATAAATTTCTCGATTGAATATATGTTTTAAAACAATTTTAAAAGTATATCTAATTTCGGTTTGGTTCCTTTAATTCCACTTACATGAATATGCCTCTTTCCCAATAAAACTATATGATTGATTAAAGTATTAGCGTAGTTAGAACCAAACCAAATAAGATATTTTGTCAATTTAATTTTTTGTGAATGATAATTGTTAAGCCAAAGTTCGAGATCATTCCAAAATTGTTTAGTTTCATGACATTCCCAAAAGACATGGCTGACGTCCTCATTGACAGTATTACAAAGCTACAAACACTGTTGTCCACAAGATTCATTGTTAATAGTTCCTTCTTTGTGTAGATAATTCCATGTAGAAAAATCTGTATTGAAAATCTAAAAGTTTTACATCCTTCAGTATATATCTATAAACAGTAAATATCGTTTTCCAATTAAAATCACAGTGAAAAATTGATTGCCATTTATCACAAACTTTAAGATTATTTTCATTTGATATTAATTTATCATAAAAGATTCTAGCGCCTTTTACAGGCTTCATCAGATCACTTAAGCAACTGTTTATATACAAATTCTGTAAAATAATTTTTCTAGTTTTCTTGATTGTTGTTTTCCATGATTCTGGTATATTGAAGATAACATATCTATAGTCTAATATTGTACCTTTTATCGGATATTTTAGTTTCAGTTCTTCAAATGACCGTTTTCCGTTTTCATTGCATATATTTTTAATTGAGTAAATTCCACTATTAGCCCATTGCTTTATGTAGTATGTTGCTTGTTTGAAGTTGTGGTTGAGGTGGTTGGGACAAAATATCTTCTATATTATCAACGTTAATAATATTCTTTTTACAAAAGTTGTTCCAAGCTTTGAATACATCTTTCCAGTACGGGTTTTTAACAAAAGATTGCTTGTCAACATTAGCACCTAAAGATAGTATATCTTTAATTGGGATATTACAAGGGTTACTATATGGTTTTTTTCACAATATAATCTGAGTGAAGAGAGTTTTAGTGCATCAATAAAGGCTCTAATGTTAATCATGTGTAATCCACCTTCCTCATATTTTCTTGTCAAAGTGCTCCTTTTGATTTTGTCTTTTTTATTATTCCAGATAAAATTGTAAAATATTTTGTCAAGTGACCAGACAAAATCCTCTGGAGGTTTAGGTAGTGTCGAAAATATATGAACTAATTTTGACAATGCTAAAGTTTTTATGACTGTAATTTTTCCTATTATCGTCAGATTTCTTTTTCTCCAATTTGCAAGCAATCTATTTATTTCTTCTAGCTTTCTTTTTGTATTGATTACCCAGAGTTCACTTAAGTTTGGATTAAACGTAATTCCTAATACTTCAAATTCCTTATTGTGCCATTCTATTTGTAAGTCTTGACATAAACGATCATTGCTACCCGTTTTGAGCCTATCCAGATTGCTTTTGTCTTGTCTACATTAATTTTTAAGCCAGACATTTTGTAGAAATTAATTTAGTGTTTCTATAGCTGCATATAAGCTTTCATCTTTGCCATTAAGAAATAATTCAGTATCATCAGCATATTGCCCAAGTTTGTATTCTTTGTCATTGACTGTAATCCCTTCAATTTTATTATTATTTCTAATCATACATCCTAGGATTTCAGCTACTAGGAGAAAAATATATGGCGACAAAGGGTCCCCTTGTCGACAGCCTCTTTCATTTGTAAAAAATTCCGAAATATGCCCATTTTGTATTATGCTTGATATGGTATCTTAAGTTAGTATATTTATCCACCTTATCATTTCTGGTCCAAATCCATATTTTTGTAAAACTTTATTTATAAGTTGTTTTGATACCGTATCAAATGCCTTTTCAAAATCGATCAGCAGAAGTAATCCTGGTTTATTTTGTCTTTTTGATTCAAAGATAATATCATATAACAACCTTGTGTTTTCTGAAATAGATCTTCCTGGAATAAATCCTGTTTGATTATTATGAATGAGCAATTCCAATGTTGATTTTATATGGTTTGCAATACAAGTACTTATTATTTTATAGAGTACATTCAATAAAGTTATTGGTCTCCAGTTTTTTTATCAATGTTCTGTCTTTGTTTGATTTTGGTATACAAGTTATAACTCCTCTTTTCATTGTCATACTCATTTTGTTATTAGCAGAAGTACTTTTTACAAATCTGTATATCCAGAATTTAAGTTCTTTAAAGAAAAACTTAAAAAATTCAATAGGAAAGCCATCAATACCGGGACTTTTATTGTTTTTCATGTTTTTAACTGCCAATGAAATTTCTTAAGCTCAATTTCTCTTTCCAATAAGTTTTTCATTTGGTTGTCTAATGTTGGAGTCTCTAAATTTGTTAAATTTTCGTAGCTTCTGTCCTTGCTATCAGATGTATATAATTTTTTATAAAAGTTTCTTAATTCATCCAATATGCAATTGCCGTCTGTTATTACCGTATCATCTTCAGTCATAACTTCATTAATTAATTTACTGACATAATTTCTATTTTCTAAGTGGCAGAAATAACTTGTTGGTTTTTCTCCTTCCCCATACCATTGCATTCTAATTCTAATTTGTACTCCTCTTATTTCCTCTTCTTTTATATGTTCCATTTCTAATTTGCATTTTGATAATTCGGATAGGTGTCTTTCGTCTATTTGTTGAAAATTTCGCCTTATGTCATCTTCTAAATCGCTTATCTTACTTTCTAATTCTTTTGTTTGATTGATTTTGGTTCTTTTAATGAATGAAGAAAATGAAATTGTTTTCCCTCTAACTTTCATTAAGAGGGTTTCAAGAAATAAAGTATCATCTATTTTAAGTTTGATGTCTAACTCACTTTGTTCACTTTGTTCACTATCACTATTCTCAGAATATTCTTTTTTAGTTTCTTCTATAATTGTTTTAACTAAATCTGTATAATCTTTATTTGATAGAAGTGAAGTATTTAATTTCCAATATCCGCGTCCTCTTTCTTGATTAATTGTATTGGAGAAAGATAACGTTATGACTGAGTGGTCGCTTTTATATCCGGGTAAAATATTTGTTTCCAATGTCATATTTCTTATATCTTCAGACACTAAAAAGAAGTCAAGCGTAGCTTGTTGTTTTGGGTTTTTCTTCCACCATGTAAACTTCTTAAAGTCTTTATTTAGTTCTCTCCATATATCTATCATATTTAACGATTCTATTTTTTCCAATACTATCCGTCTTGCTTTAGGGTTATTTATATTTTTAGAATTTTCTAAATCAACTGCAGGATTAAGAATAAGGTTCCAATCACCAACAATAACTAATGAATCATTTTCGAAGTTATCAATATTATCAAATAGATTTTTATAAAAATCAGGGTCATCACTATTAGGTCCATAGAGATTAGTTAATGTTAGTCTTGTACCTTCTAGAGTTATTTCAGCTATTATATAATTGCCATTTTCATCTATTTTAGTGCTATGAATTGTTATGTCTACATTATTATTAAACATTATCGCAACTCCTCTAGCATTGGATTTATATGGTGCAATTATGCTTTGTAGACCCCATTCATTCCTCATAAGAGTAACCTCACTTTTTGAAATGTGAATGTCTTGTAGGCAAACAAGAGATACCTTTCTTTTTCTTCAAATATTCAGTACTTCCTTTCTCTTATTTTCATCTGCTAAGCCTCTGCAATTAGCCGAAATCACTTTTATTTTTTTAATATTAGCCATAATCTACTATTATAAGTTGTAAAGAAATATAATGAACTACAACGGGTACTTGATTTCCATAAACTACAGGGAACATTTTTTTTGGAGAATAAAAAAAGAGAGAGATGAACAAAGAAATATAAATAAATACTGGTGTTCCATAGTGGACCAAGAGGTCCCCTCCCGTTCTCAGTGACAATTTAAATTATTGCCCAAAAGTGCAAATCTAAAGTATAACCAATACTGGTAGCCTTTAGAGTGATCTGAAACAGACCTATATCATATATTATTAAGGTTATGTAACATTTCATTATATCTGTGTTGTCGATCTACAAGATAAATTATGTATTACAAATTATCAGGCTCTATATTAGCATAGAGGACATGAATTC